CTGATAAGTTCGTACATGGGCCCTTTAAGGAGCTGCCTGGGGCTCCAGCCGCGTCAGCTTCCCTGAGCCTCAGTTCCCGCTGGTTTTTCCAGCCAGAAGTTATGGGGACTTTACTTCCTGGCACTGAATCCTGACTGGGGCACCTGGTGTGGGACGGGGGCCCCTCAGTCCTCAGGGAGGACCTTCCCAGCCGAGGTGTCCTCCTGATTTTTATCCGCCACACTTGGGTGTGGGACCAGCCCGTCCACCTCCGCCCCTCCTACCAGTCTCGATGTGGCTGCTGCTTTAATTCCGTAGTTGTAGGACTTCCATTCAGCTTGATTTCAGGCGGTTTTGAATGATGGTTGTTCTGTAGTTTAGTTGTAACTTTGATGTGGTTGTGGGAGGACACGATACCGCGTTTACCTACGCCGCCATCTTGACCGGAAGTCCAACCCATGACTCTTTAGTCTGCAGGCCGCAGCTCTAATTGCTGAGCCAAACCGGCCAGGGCTGTGTCATCATTTAATACCTAAATAATCCTATAAAGTAGGTGCTACTATTCCCATTTGAGAGGAGGCACACAGAGGTTTAATGACTGTCCAAGGTCACCCAGCAAGGTAATGAGTGGCTGAACCCAGACTGAAAGCCTGTCTGACTCTAAAGCCACGCTCCTGTGCGTCACCCTGCACTGCCTTCCTGATCACGGAGCCCTCCCCTCGTCGGAAGCCCTGCACACGCTCTGCTCTGACTTCAGCCTACCCGACGCCCAGCCACTGCGGCAAGCATACCAAGTGCTAACTTAAGCAGCACACACACTGAAACTGGAACTATACAGAGAAGCTGCATGTCATCCATGTGTAGGGACCATGCTAGACTCTTGGAAAGTCCCTGTTTTTTTCCTGCTTACTTTGGCACACAGAAACTCTGGAATGGTGAGTCAGAAATTAGTGAAATCGATTACTTCTAAGGAGTGGGAGAAATGAGTAATGGGATTGAAGGGTTGGGGGAAAGTAACACATCTCTGTATATATCGTTTAACATAGTTTTGACTTGTGAATCATGTTAATATTTTACATATTCAGAAAAAAATAAGTCAACAAGAATAGAGGAATAACTAAAACTCAATAGAGAGGAGCAATTGGATTCAACAGTATTCAAATGAATAAAAATTATTGGTGGGGGTATCTATTTCAAGTAACTTTTGAATAGAATACTTTGATAATATACACACATTTAGTTTAAAGATGTCTATATGGCTATTCTAGCTTATGTCTGTTCTAACCAACTGAACATCTTCTACAATTTACTTTCCTGATGTAAATTTAGGGTTTTTTTGTGTTTTTTTTTAATTCATTGCAAACCTAACACCATGTATTAAATTATCCAGCTTTCCTCTGGTGATATGAAATGGCACGTTCATAACTTCATGTTAAACTTCCAAATTTTTTTTAAAAGCCTACAAATCTTGAACTCTTAATAGGTTTATTTTTCATAGTATGAATATGGCAATTCTAAAAATATTTTGTATATATTATTGGACTAAGCAAGTGAGTAAATATTTCAATGATTTTGAAAATTATGGAGAAACCAAGAAGGACCCTGCAGGGCAGAAATATAATTGGAAGCGTAATAATAAATTTGTCATTTCTAAAATGCATGTTTTTGAACCTGCCACTGAAAGGACCTAGAAACAGTGACAGTCCTGCCACAGTGAATGAGCACAAGCAGCAGCCAGATCCTGAGTCTGGAACACCAGCCCTCACTAAAACAGCAAGAGCTCCTTGAAGAAATGGTTGATCCTAGGCCTGGGGAAACAACACAGGAGATGAGACGAGAACATCTTGTTGTGCCAGAAGGAAGGAACTGCTCACCAAGTGCCAGGAGCCACGTTGAAAGGACACGGGCCAGCTGAAAGGGACCCCTGCAGGCCACTGGCAGGGAACTTAGCATCCAGAGAAACAATGGTAATGGATTACAAGCCACTGGATAAACAAGAAAGCAGGTGTGCATGCTGATAATAGATAAGCAAATAAATAAGCGGAGTGCTTTTCTTCAATAGAATTTTTAAAGAAATATCTAAGGAATGATGGAATTAGAAAAACTGCCACTTTGCAACCATTATAGTAAAGACTGATTCAGACAAGACTTAACAAGAAATGTGAAATCCGGGACTACAAGTAAGAGAACAGGATATTTTCATAATCTCAGAATGCTTCCCCTTAAATTGTTGCAAAGGAAAATATAACTGCAGTGAATAACACTGGCAGACACCTTAGACGGGTGACAAAAATTAACATCATAAATGAGACAAACCGCTCTGGCTGGTTTGGCTCAGCGGTTAGAGTGTCACCTGCGGACCAAAGAGTTGCAGGTTCGATTCCCACCAAGGGGCACGTACCTCGTACCTCGGTTGCGGTTTGTCCCCGGCCCTGGTGGAAGTTGTATGGGAAGCAGCCAATCAATGTGTCTCTCTTACATCGATGTTGCTCTCCCCTCCCCCACCCAATCTATCTGAAGATAAATGGAAACATATCCTCAGGTGAGGATTATAAAAAAACAAATAAAATAAATGAGACAAACCAACACAAGCACCTTCTGATGCAGTGCACTGAGAAAGACACAACATCACTTACCTAATTTCCCATAACATGAGGAAGAATCAGAAAAGCCCAAACTGAGGGACATTCTATGAAAAGCTGGGAAACTTTTCTAGAATAAAGATGAATAAAAAGACATGACAACAAAATGAAATACATACTCCAATACTGGGTCTGTACCAGGGGATAAATGCTATAGAGGAAATGATTAAGATAACTGATAAAATTGCAATATGGACACATTGGTTTAAAAGCATTGTATCACTGATAGTTTTTCTGAATTTCATAGTTGTACTGTAGTTCTCTCATACACAAGAGAACATCTTTGTCCTACGTAACTAAATTCTGAAGAATTAGGGATAAAGAGATAATATATGCAATTTACTGTTTTCAAATGGTTCAGGGGAAATTACGTATAAACCTATGTGTGTATATATATATACACACAATACGTGTGTGAGAGAGAAGAAGAAAGCAAATGTAGCATGTGGTAGAAATTAGAGATCCCAATAAAGGGTTTTGTGGGAGGTCTTTATGTTATTACTACATTCTTTTAAAAAATTTGTAATTATACCCCTCCTATCAACCGTGTACACAGCATAATGCTCATTTATCTTATAAGTTGAACTATAGCAGCAGTTTGGTGTATACACTACTTCTCTTTGCCGTCAAGCTCTCTGTCTCCACAGGGCTGTGGGCTAGTGCTCTGAGGCAGGCCCATGTTTGACAAGGCATAAAAAAAAAAAAAAAAAAAAAATAGAAACACAAGTCCGAACATCAGAGGCTAAGATCTAAAAAATCCACGCATGTTTGCAAAACGTCCAAGCCCTTCCCTGCTGACATTAGAAAGGCATGGCTGTGTGTGCCTCCTGTCCTGAGCTTCCCCCAGATAATCCCACATGACTTTCCAACTCACCGACTTTCCATTTGGTCACCCACTCAACCTTCAGCACAGTCATATCTTTTGCAGAGCTAAAAATAGCCATCCTATCAAGTGGGAAATTAAATAAGGTACTATTTACAGTTAAGCAGATAACTTCCCTAAGACTATTTTTTTAATGATGACACTGCACCAGCAAATTAAGAATTTGGATAAAATAAAGGCATGAAAACATTCTCTGCTGCATGAAGTTGATCACTTATTCTTAGCTCAGTAGGACTGCCAGCTCTGGAGTCAGGTCTCTTGGATGCAGATCCTGAATTTGTCCAGCTGCAAAACTTTAAGCAAGCTACTTAGACCTCCTGATGCTGTTTTCTACATCTGCAAAATAAAGGTTGATAATAGTGTCCATGGATGAATCCCACACATTATGTTGAACAGAAGAAGCCCGAACCAGTGGAGTACATAATATATGAATCTACCTATATGAAGTCCAAGAACAAGCAAAACTATGGTAACAAAAGTCAGCAGAGTGGCTACCTTTGTGGGGAAGAGTACTGACTGGGAAGGGGCACAAGGGGGCCCTCTGGGTGGCAGAAATGAAATTTTTCTTGATTTGGGTGGTGGTTACACAGGTATAAATATATAAACATTCATTAAGCTGTATATTAAACATTTGCTACACCTCAACAAAATAAATAAATAAAACACAGTACCAATCAAATAGAACTATTGTAAGGATTAAATGAGAAAATGTATGCAAAGTGCCTAGTTATGATATGTTTGTTATTACAATGACTTATTACAAGAATAGAACTGTTATTTTTAAGAGATGAAGCTACTCTTCTTTTTAGCAATCCTCAGTTCCTAGTTTTTTTGTACCACTTCCAACTTCCTTGTCTTGCTTTTGCAGCTCTAGAGCGCTCTCTTTTTATTTTGATAAAGGAATGATATAGTTTAGAAAAGTTTGAAGAACATTTTTAAAGAAGTAAATAAGATGGCCAAAAAAAATGTGTGCACTTGGAAATAACACTAAATCAGAAAATCAACAGGAAGTCATCAGATGTTAATAACTACAAACCTACAGGAGCTCATGTGGATGGTGAGTAGGCACCAGGGCCAGGTTTCTAGTAAATTCTCAATTATAGAAGAAGTTTAGACTGAACAGAAGAAATTCAAGAAAAGGGTAAGCAAAAAAATGATGTCTTTAAAATACTTTTCAACGAAACATTACCAATCTATCCGTTCCTCCTGAGATGGCTCTCGCCCTGAAGATGATTGCCAACTTTCTTTCACCTGGAAGATTTTCTTACTTGTTACTCTCAGTGAGGTCACAGTTACTTAATTTTTTTTAGAGAGAGAGGAAAGGAGAGGGAGAGAGACAGAGAAATTGATTGGCCATGCCCCCCACTGGGGATTGGGCCCACAACCGGGGCGTGTGCCCTGACCGGGAATCAAACCTGCGACCTCTTGGTGCATGGTTGATGCTCAACCACGGAGCCACACCAGCTGGGAAACACACAGTTGTTTTTAAGACTTACCTTTATAAAAGCACAGCCAACACCATTATCTGTAATGGTAAGACCAAGTGAATCCTCAGACTTATACACATTCACTTCTTTTTTAATCCCTTTCACATGGGCAAATATGAAATCTTCAAGACCTAGTTGTGATCCTAAGAGTTTTTCCATGTCAACTTTAGGTGTGTTTAAAGTGCAATATAAGATCTGCAAAGAGAAAAAAATATTTTAAGTCAGTTTCCATCAGGAAAACATTCTGGTCGTTAGTTTCCTTAATAAAAATTTAAATGAAATAATCCTTAATTGATTATATAAGAGGTTATATCAATAAAGTACAGCATAGGAAAGATAGTCGATGGTACTGTGGTGACTATGTATGGTGCCAGTTGGGTGCTGAAAGTATCAGGAGGAATACTTTGTAGGGTATGTGATTGTCTAACCACTATGCTATACACCTGAAACTAATACAAAATAACATTAAATGTAAACTGTAATTGAAAAAAATAATTGCCCTGGCCAGTGTGGCTCAGTAGGTTGGGTGTCATCCCTCTGCCCAAAAGGTTGCAGGTTGGATTCCTGGTCAGGGCACATGCCCGGGTTTCAAGCTAAATCCCTAGTAGGGGGCATGCAGAAAGCAGCTGATCAACGTTTCCCTCTCACATCAATATTTCTCTCTCTCCCTCTCCCTTCCTCTCTCTAAGAAATCAATTTAAAAATCTTAAAAAGAAAAAAAGAGGTTACATCGACAATATTAGTTAATATGCATTGTTTCCCATAAGCCAGGCTCTGTGCTAAGCAATTTACATCCAGTATCTTATTTAATCCTCACAATAACTTTATAAATACATTATCATCTTCATATTAAAGATGAGGACATTGAGTCTTAGTGAGAGTAAATAATTTTTCACTAAGCCAGTACTTGTCAGTGAAGATTCAGTTCAGGCCCTGGCCAGTGTGACTCAGCTGATTGCAGCAGCATCCCATACACCACTGAAGGGTGGCAGTTCAAGTCGTGGTCAGGGCACATACCTAGGTTGTGGGTTCAATCCCTGGGTGGGGCAAGTACAGAAGGCAACCAATCCACATTTCTCTCTCAAATCAATGTTTCTCTTTCTCTGTCTCTCTCTCTCTCCCTTCCTCTCTCTAAAAAAATCAATTTAAAAAAAATGATTCCGTTCAGATCTCATCAACTTCAAAGTGGTTTAAACTTCTGTTACCTCCCATTGGCAATGCTGAAATCAAAGATTGTGCTCACAAAGGTAAGGTCATGCTATATATACCACAGTGAAAACACAGGCAAGACTATATTTGAAAACAGGTAAAAAAATTTTAATGAGCCCTGGCTAGTTTTGCTCAGCGGTTAGAGCATTAGCCTGTGGACTGGAGAGTCTTGGGTTCGGTTCCTGCTAAGGGCACGTACCTCGGTTGCAGTTTGTCCCCGGCCCTCGTTGGGGTTGTGTGGGTGGCAACCAGTCGATGTGTCTCTCTCACATTGATGTTTTTCTCTCTCTCTCTGCCCCCCTCTCTCCCTCCCACTCTATCTGAAGATAAATGCAAAAAAAAAAAAAAAAAAATGTCCTCAGGTGAGGATAAAAAAATAAAAATTAAATTAAAAAATAAAACTTGTATTCAAAAAAAAAATTTAATGAAAAAAATATTATTTCTCTTGCATTATAGTCCTTAAGAAAAGTAATTTAATTAGTGACTGGGGTGCTAAATAAAAATATCTAAAGCGTTTCTAAAATGGACCTTAAAGACTAACTAATCCAATCCTTTAATTTTAAAGAAAGAGAAAACTGAACTCTGGAGAGCTTAATGTAACTTGCCAAATTCACAAGATGGTAGAGACAGAATAAAAAACTAAAACAATGTAAAATTGTGTGGAGATTTTAAAGGGACTTCTTATGTTGACCAAGTCTTTATTTGACCTCATTTTCCTTCAAAAATGTGATTCATTTTACTAAAATCTGCAGTGCTACTCTTGTTTGTCAACCATAATTTGAGTAATTTGTGGGCCCAAATACAGAATTATGGAAAAGGAGAAGAGGGTTGAAAACATGGGATTGCACTAGAAATAAGGTTCAACAAATAGTTCTTGAGTACCCTCAAAGTACCAAACCAAAAAAGGACATTGTACTAGAGCTATTTTATACCAAAATGCTAAACAGAAAAGTTTTTAATTTCTGTTAAGTGATATTTGCCACAAACGTTGTAATTCCTTCCTCCATCCCTGAGCCTTGCTCCAGCCCTCTCCCTAGGTCTCACACCATTCCTAACTCCCACTGGAACCCTGAGCCTTCACATATTCATGAATCTCAGAAGCCGCAAGAATCTCAGAGATGATATAATTACTACTTATTAAATGGTTTTCTAAGCCACATCAAAGTGCATCTGAATTGGAGCAGCTCTCCCTGTTGTACAATTAAAAGTCCAGCATGGTCAGCATAGCCCTGACCAAACCCCAGGAAAGAAGCTGAAGATGGGGACAAGGAAGAGGCCTGCAGAGAACAAGAGAATAAAAGCCGCTGAGGAAAAACTATCATCCCCACCCTTTCCTCTTTCCATCCAGGGCTGTGACCTGTGCTAACTGGTTGGCCTTTAAATTTAATCCTTCGTGTTCTCAGGGAAGACAATATATTTGGACATTGTACTTAGTAAACTTTTGCAAATATTCCCTAGTTTAAAAATTGTATTATTCACAGGAGGAAAAAAAAAAAAGTCATGTAAGCCAAGAATGTGTCCTATTTCTTATTTTAATGGTAAGACCAATGGTTTAACTAGTCCACTAACAAAAATCATTACTAATGGGTAAAGGGTGAAGGGAGTATGCATAGAAAATAGCATCTCCTGCCCGGCTGGTGTGGCTCAGTGGCTGAGCGTACACCTATGCACACCAAGAGGTTGCTGGTTTGATTCCCAGTCAGGACACATGCCCAGGTTGTGGGCCCGATTCCCAATCGGGGGGCACACAGGTGGCAGCCAATCTATGTTCTCTCTCATCAATGTTTCTCTCTCTCTAAAATCAATACAGAAAAATTACTTTAAAAAAGAAGGAATACAGGTTTTCCTGATTCCTTTCTCAAAATAACAAGAAGTAAATAAAGAAATAAACACAGCTTCGTCCTTCTTTTCCCAGTGAATCAGTTAATGGTATCCATAGTGTATCCAAAACACCAATCATATATAAGCAATTTAGCAGGTAGACAGGAAATAAAACATACTGATAACATAACAGAGCAGGGGGGAAACCCCAAAAAGGAAATCCCACACAAAGTGAAATTCTAGTTATTAAGCCACTTCCTTCCTTTCCATTTTTCACACGCTTCACTGCAGAGCAATTACATTTCCTGTAGGTATACCCCTTTTCCATTGTGCTCTCTCCCCTGCAAGCTACTGTTCCATTCCAGGAGCCAAAAGTCGGCAGGCAAGGCATCGTTTCTTCTGGAAGGGGGAGCCAGCTATATCCTTCATGGAACCTGTGTTGAGTACCTGCAGGAATTGACGGTCCCTGGCAGGTGGAGTAAGAGCCAGCCCTCCGCAGGAGCAGGTGCATAAAGCTCCACAGCTTCCGATCAGCTCTTTATAGGAGAATAAAAACCTAATGCTCGTACAACCTCAGTGCACAACTATCAGCAAATATATCTGTAAGTATGTGATAAAGGTCTAGAAAGGCAAACACATCCTCTGTACTGCATTTTGAACTAAGAAATAAGAAAAAGATACACCACTTTCTTAATGTTGCAAAGTTGGTGCTCATTCATCTATTTACCAATTACCTACAGAACACCTGCCTTTGTCAGGTTCCAGGCTGCACTCTGGATGTATAAAAATGAGTATGACCAGTCCCTATGTGCCAGGACCTTCCTGGCTGGCAGATTCTCCACTGAGGTACCGTGAGGCAACATCAGCCAGTTGTAATATATTAAAATCCACGAATATTTAAACCAAAGGAAACTCAAATGTTTACTGTACACATTCTTACCTTCATTCATACATTTCCTTCCAACCAAAATCTGAAATGCCTGTCTGCCCTCTCTAATCCTATGCCCTTGTCTACTGACACTCTGCTCAATGGGACTGCCCAGGGGGAAGCACTCATGTTTTCCACTTTTCTCACATCGTCTAAATCTGGTACCTCATTGGAGTGTCTGAGTCACCTTGCCTTGAAGTCTGGTTGGTGTAACACATATTTGTCACTCTCACTCTGAGAGAGATGAGCACTTAGTCATCTTCCTCTCTCCTACAGAGTCTAACAGTACCCTGCTCAGTTTATATCCCAATGGCATTTACAGTACATGTTCACTTATCTCACTGAATACAACATACCCTGTGTACTAGGTTTTATTATCCTCATTTTGTAGATTAAAAAAAATATGTTTTTATCCAGTTAACACAGCTAATAAATGTTTAATTTTAAGATAAAACAAAAAGAAGAACAAGGAAAGAAACAGTAAGGCAGTCATATTATCAATGTTCCTTTAAGAAATATTTGCTTCAGCCTGGCCAGTGTGGCTCAGTGGTTGAGCATCGACCCATGCACCAAGAGGTTGCCAGTTTGATTCCTGGTCAGGGCACATTCCTGGGATACGGGCTCGATCCCCAGGAGAGGGTGTGCAGGAGGCAGCCGATCAATGGTTCTCTCTCACATCAATGTTTCTCTCTCTTCCACCTCCCTTCCTCTCTCTCTAAAAATATATTTTTTTTAAAAAGAAATATTTGGATAAACCACAGAACTTACATGCATGTATGCATGACCAGTGGACATGGACAACTAAGCCAGGGACAGGGCGGAGGTGGGTTGGGGAGGGGGTGCCAATGGGGTAAAAAAGGTAAAATATCTGTAACAAAAAAATAAATAAATAAAATTTTTTTAAAAAGAAAAAGAAAAGAAAATAAAAAAGAAATATTTGCTTTGCTTCCAGAGTATAAGTATGCTAGATAAAAGGCAGTAGGATAGAGTAGTCTCAAGATAAGGTGTCATATAAAGAAACGTATACATCCATTAGCTAAAACCTGTCTGATGTTGTTCATTGTAAGTGTAATCTTTAACATCTCCTGGGGTATCTATATTTGGTACTTTACCACCACCATTGCCAATTTTCCTAAGACAGATGGAGTACTCATGATTTTGATTTTCTAGAGCAGCACTGCCCAATAGAAATGTAACTCAAGCCACATAATTTTAAGTGTTCTAATAATCATATTAA